TAGTATTGCTACTCCATCAACCCATTTCATATTTACTTTTCTAGTTTATTTATGTGAGTTATTAAAAGCAAATTCATATTTGGTGGATTCCTCTTCTTCTTTTTTTTGGGTGATTTTTTTGTTTGTATATCGATGAGAATACTTATTCCAGTCTTTGTTTTATTTGGCTTTGTACATGTATTGAGAAAGAAAGATCGGAAAAATTGATTATATTTAGCAAACATAAAAATTATATTTGTATGTTATAACTATAGTTTGCATAATTGCGCTCCATAACAAATTTTATGTTTGCTATGGAGCTTTTGATTTGTATAATTCGCTAGATACATCCAATTTATATACAAATTATTCAGTTTTCTATAAATTCATTTATACAATTGGATGATTTGTATATAAAACGTTTCAGTTTTTTTTTTGGCAGGAAAAAATTTGTATTTGTATAATTATAAGTGTATAGGGTGAAAATATATGTGTTTGTATTTGTATATACACTTTTCTCTCGTTTTATACAAACATAAACGCATTTTATACATTTGTATACCGAAAATGGCTAATTGTGTACTGAACCAGATGACAAAAATGAGATGTTTGCTGCAAATTATAAATAAAATAAACTATGGATATATTATGTTTGCATATCTTAAAAATTAAAAAAAATTGTTAAAAAAATTTTATTTTATCCTTGTAAATAATTGGGAAAAAAAAGACCTTATTATGATTTTATATGTAAGTAAAAAGTTAACACATATATTAAAGTGCAAATTGCAAATTAAAGAATACTAAATAGATATCCAAAATATCATCATTATTTTTATAAAGACACAATCTATTGTTGTTTTTTTTCACGTACAAACGGTGAACCAGGTTTGAAAAAATTGTCATTTTCTATCTAAACAAATTGCGGTTACTCTCAACAAATAGGCATAAATTTCAATAATTGGACAAACTTTGGAAAAAACAAAATATTTGAAATTAAAGTTAGAAATTTTTTATAAATTATTGTAAAATAATATCAACTTAGGTACATCTCAATTATTTTAAGAAGAGGTATTTAATTAGTATAAAAAAAAATGAGTTTGTAGCCACAAAGTTCATCTTAGCCTATATATGGACATGTAATTTCACATTCAACGTTTGATTATGATTTCAACCTATCATTTTATATTTCAAATTATTCAAAAAACAAATATTTGCAATTTTTTTATTTTGTTATTTTGCTTGTATTACTTTTTTTTTTATATGACGGTTGTCATTGGTCATTTGTATACATCTTCATTATTTATCGGATTTTAAATTTCTGAAACTTGAACCTAAAAAGGTGATTCAATAATTTATATATATATAAAATAAAAAAAAGTAACGTATTTACATCATATGCTTTTTCAATAATGGAGATTCATAGGTAGATTTTTCCAATAAATATTTGCTATCTTTCACAAATATACTAACATATATTAGATATATCTATTTTATTCATCAAACTTTTGACAAAACTAATGTGAAGAAATCACCGAATATAACTTTTTAGTGTGGAACCCATTAATGGATGGGCTCCTTTTGTTTCCACAATGTGTTGGCTGGTTGTTGAACTACAAAATGATGGGACGTTTGCTTAGTTGAGGAGTTAGTTAACAATCTTTTACAAAAGAAAACAATATACATGCAAAACTTTTAACGACTACCGTTGACTACAATGAAAGTGCTAATAGTTTACTTTTTTATATTTTTATCAACTCATATTCTAATCTGGCTATATTTAAATTGAATTCATGTAGAATCTCATTAGAAGGAGAGCGTTTTCTATTAAAATAACTGGCTCTATTTTAGGTTAAAGGAGATATTATTTGGGTATGACATTAATGGTATCCAATAATTTGAGGCAAGTATTATCTCCTCTGATTCAAATTATGTGGGGTTTGACTAAACATATATATATTTATTTTTATTTTAAAGAAACAATCACATTTTATAAGAATAGTTGCCTCTTTTCATATTCTTCTTAAGTCCCAAATATTCTTGTTGGCTGGCCTAGGTTTAAACTATGGAATTAATTGTATCAATATGCACTATACATCCCTCTGATTAGGCGTTTGTTCTGATTTTCTTATTTTATTTAAGTTTTTTTTTTATTTAAAGAAAAATTACAGTATTATTATAATTATTTTTTGTTTCTGAACGAAATATCACTACAATAAAAATATTTTTAGTGATAACAAACTGGTATTACTCCCTCTGTTTTTTTACTTGTCGTTTTTGACAAATCAATAAAAGTCAAAAATATTTACATATTATATCCTCAATTTATTTAGAGAGTTAATGATTTGAAAAAAATAGAACCTCTTTAATGAATAATTTGATTTTGAAATTTTATTAACCAATAGGGGTAAAATGGTAAACTCACTATGTTAATTATTATTTTCTTAATAGGTATGTCAAATAAAAAAAGAACAAGTAAATAGGGAGAGGCGAAGTAGTTAATTGTCATTAGATCCAACGTTTTTATAGGTTTTAGTGATAATTACATTGACATTTACAAATAGTGCTAAAATGTACTCCCTCTAATCATTTTTACATGTCTCTATTTGACTTGACACACCCATTAAGAAATAATTATTGACATATGTATTTTACTAAATTATCCCTATTAAATAATGTTGATGGTAAAACATGGTAAAATATACTGTAATTGTCTTTTCTTGATATGTCAAAAGTGACAAGTAAAAATGAAAATATATTTTAAGAATAAGTGACAAGTAAAAGTGAATGAATGGAGTGGTTGTCACTTGCCTCTAAAATGTTCAGCAACCATTAAATTATTGTCGTTAATTAATTCCTCTATATTATCATCGTTTAAGATTTCTTTTTGTGATTGTGATCGATAATTAAGGATAAGTTTAGAGAAAGCGAAAATGAAATTCAAGGCTAAATTTCTATCTTACTTGGTTAATCCAAAGTCTCCACATTATTTACTTAGAAGATACCCATGGTTACTAGTGACATTTTCAATAAAATTTAACTCTAAATTTTAGTTCGAACTAAGAATTGTATTAACCTTAATCTTGAATTATGTTTAACAATTGAATTACAATTTAACTTTGAGTTTAATTAGAAGTGTTATAAATTAAATCTAAGTTAATATAAGTAGTATTGAATTAGAAACTTGACAATATTAAGTTTAACTTGAGAAAATTATTTCAAAAAGATTATTATCTTTTAACTCTTCAAATAGTTAAGATTAGGACTTAATTAGAGTAATTTGTGATTTGCACCCCTAAAGTATACCCTCTTTTGCGACTTGCACCTTATTCTATCATTTTTAATAATTTGCATCCCAATCTCCTTAGTTCTTTGCAACATCATAAAAAGTCTCATTCTTCAATTATTTATAAGAATAACATAGAGAATTTCATATAAAGAAAAATAAAAGTGATTTAAATTTAAAATGAAAACAATATTAAAGACAAGTCATTTGTCGTTTCTAGTAATTTTTTATATGTATCACTCTCAGAGGGGACATCATTAAATTTTCAAAATGGATCTCTTTTTTTGTTTTGGCCAAACAATTGTTTCTTCCAATCCATTGGTATTTAGGGTGTTTATACTTTATAGTATTGCTACTCCATCAACCCATTTCATATTTACTTTTCTAATTTATTTATGTGAGTTATTAAAAGCAAATTCATATTTCATGGATTCCTCTTCTTCTTCATTTTTTTTTGGGTGATTTTTTTGTTTGTATATCGATGAGAATACTTATTCCAGTCTTTGTTTTATTTGGCTTTGTACATGTATTGAGAAAGAAAGATAAAAAAAATCGATTATGTTTGGGTAGAAAATAATTATTTTTTATTATTTTTATTATTATTATGTTTGCATATCTTTAAAAATATAATAAGTTTTTTATTTTTTTTATTTTATCCTTGTAAATAATTGGAAAAAAAAGACCTTATTATGATTTTATATGTAAGTAAAAAGTTAACACACATATTAAGAGTGCAAATTACAAATTAAAGCATACTAAATATATATCCAAAATATCATCATTATTTTTATAAAGAAACAATCTATTGTTGTTTTTTTCACGAAACAAATTGCGGTTACTCTCAACAAAGAGGCACAAATCTCAATAATTGGACAAACTTCGGAAAAAACTGAAATTAAAGTTAGAATTTTTTTATAAATTATTTTGAAATAATATTCCCTTACTTGTCCACTTTTTCTTTTATAATTGTTCCTAATTACTTGTCTATTTTGACAAATCAAGAAAAGACAAAATAATTTTATCTATTATATCCTCAATTAATTACTTTGAAAAAGGTAGAATTTCTTGAAAATTTTAAATTTTTAATCTATCCACTTTATAATTAATAGGGGTAAAATGGTAAACTCACTATGTCAATAATTGCTTTCTTAATAGCAGTGTTAATTCAAAAGTGGATAAGTAATTAGGGAAATAGAGAGTATCAACTTAGATACATCTCAATTATTTTAAGAAGAGATATTTAATTGGGAAAAAAGTCTGAAATATATCTGAACTTTGGTCGACATTGTTGTTATCATACCTAACTTTGGAAAGGACATTTTACTCTCTATACTATTTAATAATGTATTTTAAAGGTATATATGTGTCAACGTGAACATTATAAATATTGCATAATTATAAATAGTAATGTGTCCACGTAGACACATATACATTTTTAAAATACACTATTAAATAGTACAAGGATAAAAGATCCTCCATAAAATTTGATATCGTAACAACAATTTTGATCAATGTTAAAGTATTTTTCAGACTCTTTTTCCTATTTAATTAGTATTAAAAAAATGAGTTTGTAGCCACAAAGTTCATCTTAGCCTATATATGGACATGTAATTTCACATTCAACGTTTGATTATGATTTCAACCTATCATATATTTCAAATTATTCAAAAAACAAATATTTACAATTTTTTTTTTATTGTTAACATAGATGAGGAGAATTCCTATAAAAAAAAAACCCAAAAAAAAAAATGCTAAAATTGCATTTGACAAAGACTATATTTACATGTTACAACATAAGTACAGTTGTACTCAGATTATATTAAGCTCAAAATTTAAATTAAAAAAAAGAAAAAAGATAATAATTCAGAAAAATAAAAACAGTCCTAAACAGCTCACCAATAATCAAATTCCGGGCCTTCGGGCTCGGGCTTCAAGTTTAAATCAGGCTTTTCCTGAAACCAACAAGGCTTTAATCGGGCCGGGCTTTCATGTCGCCGTAGCTGATTATCGCCGTCGCCGTCATCATCGGAAATAGCCATTGAACTCTGGATAGCGTCAACTCTAGCACCTACTTCAACAGCCTTCTTACGAATTGCATCAGCAGACAAATCACTGAGTTCGCCGCTATCACCGACTAACAGCTCCGGGAAATTTAACCGGGCCGATGGCCCCCGGAGATAGTAAACAGCTGTATCGTATGCTCTTGCAGCTGCAACAGGCGTCGTATACGAGCCCAACCATATCCTCGACCGTTTATTTGGCTCTCGGATTTCAGCAACCCATTTCCCCCATTTTCTCATCCTTATTCCTTTGTAAGCCCTCTCGTTTTTTCTCTTCCCGGAGCAACACCCTCCTCCTCCTCCTCCTCCGCCTCCAACCACCCCAGCATCGCCGCTTCTGACGCCGTCAACCTCCATTTTTCCTCTTTCCTTATCAATTTTTGGGGTTAATTGGAACAAAAAATTTCCCTGTAATCTAGAGGAATGCCCATGAAAGAGAAATGGGCGTTGGCCACAATTTGGGTACTATGGTTTTCCACGTTGATTTTATTTTTAAGGGAAATTGCCTCAATAATTTAAAAGAATGATTTATATTATTTTAATCTATTTTAAAAAGAATGATCTCGTTTCATTTTTTATAACACTTTAAATTTATGTATTTTCATATAACATATTTACAATCACAAAATTAAAGAATATTTTTAAGTTTTAACCTAACTAATTTAAAATTAGATTATTAATAATTATTTTATTTTTTAAAATTTTATTTCAAGTCAAATTAATTTTTTTTTTTTTTTTTTAAAACTAAAAAGCAAATATCTAAAAGCACCGATAATGTCACACTCTCTCTCCCCACAATAATAACCTGATTTATGTCTACTTTATTTATTTATGTTCAAATTCATAAGAGATGGTGGTTGTTGCTCGTTGGTCCGCTCGACACGTAAAAAGCTTTCAGCGTCCGCATTTAATATTCGATTTGATATTTTCAAATTTTAATTTTATAATTAAAATTTTATTTTTTAAATGATGAAGATTTATTGTAAAAAAAATTTATTCTCTTTATTTCAAAAAAAGTGACCTAATTTGATTTGCCTTAGAGTTTAAGAAAATGAAGAAAACTTTTGAATATTGTAGTTTTAAATTAAAGTTATGTCAAACGTATAAAATTACTCTTTAATCTTGTGCCTTAAACATGCCAAGTGACAAATTGAAATTAAAATATTACCAAAAAAAGAAAAAAATCATTCTTTTTGAAATAGACTAAAAAAAAAAGTCATTATTTTTTAAACCGTGGAAGTATATTTTATAGAGTAATGGAAAGTTAAAATAACTTTATGGATTTGGAAGTTTTTACTAACAATTCTAAAGGCTAATAAATTGAATTTTAAATTTAAAGTGTATAAATTTAATGAAAATTTGGTCAGAATTTGGCCAGAATGATATTTTACCTATGTTATTTTACATTTTAAAATATTTTTACCCTTTCAACTTTAATTTTTTTTAACTAAAAAATGGAAAAAAGATCAATTTATTTTAAAAATAAAAAATATTATAGATTTTTTAAATTTCTGATCAAATTCTGGCTAAATTTTCTAGCCATTTAGCATTACCCAATATATTATTTGAACAAAAGTTATTGTTTAGGTTCTGTAGTCGGCTATTCAAACTTCTACGAAGATAAAATTTGTGTGTATTCTATTTTTTTCAAACCCCACTTGTAAGGTTACAGTGAATCTAAAATTATTATGTTGCTCCGGTACAAATTTCAAATTTTGGGACGTTAAATTTCAATAGAGTAATTCAATAATTATGTAGTAATGAAATTTTTTTTTTAACAAGATATGTTAATAATTTATTTCACGAGTTGGGTGAGGTTCTATCTAGGCATGGCTAAAGTGTTTTGAATATTTTGACATCATCTAACTTGAAGTAGAGTGTTGAAATTATCAAGTGACAACTAGTGACAATTGTATGTGAGTGGAGTGATACATAATAAAGGTGACAATAATGCAATGCAACATAACAAAATTATTAGTTAGTTTAGAGTTAATTAATAATAATCTATTAGTCAATGAACTTGATTAGTGATAGTATATATATGCATGTGAGTAGATCAATTTGGTGCAATTATATTCATATTCTTTCGTCATATCCAATACAGAGAAAATCCCCAAACACACACACACTCTTTCTCTATAGATTCTCTTACTTTTGATTAAAAATGTGAATTGTCTTTCAAAATGAAAAGTTTAGTTCTATTCTACATTGATGAGAATATTTTTTGATTTATTTAATTATTATTTGTGATTTAAGCATTTGATTTTTATTTAATGATGACAACAAGATTTGATCTCAGGATTTTTATCAATTATAATATGTCAAACACATATGCAGATCCTTAAACTTGTCCCTAATTTTCATTTTGACACTCCAACTTAACCTTGTTCCATTTTAACCCTTCAACTCTAATTTTTATGTTCTATTTTGACACTTCTTTCCAAAGAATCAACAAAGTGGATGTGTGTACTTCACATGCCATGACATAGTCTGCATATTGTTTGGCCATTATAATATGACTTAAGTCATTTGTGGCCCCTTAAAGTTGTCTGCATCTTTCGCTTGAACACCTTATATTAGGCATGTTCCAATTGAACATTTTTTTTAGTAAACAAAAATACCTATCAAACATTTTTTTACAATCAACTAAAAATGAAAATTGTGTGTTATACACTTGTGACTGACGTGACATTGTAACTAATCAAAAAAAGACACGTGGCATTGTCCCATAATAACAATTTAAAAATAAATTAGAAATTAAAATAAAATAAATACTCTGTTTTCAGAAAAAAAAAAAAACTTTCTTCCTCTTTTTTTCTTCATTGTCAGAACAACCCACCCACCCCCGACATCCGTCCTTCCCCATTTTCTTTTTTGCCTGAACGTGCTCACAACGATTGACAACTAAATTATCGTACACTCCGATAATCATTCTTAATTATATAAGAAAACAACTTCAGATTCGTATTAGTTTTGTAGGAAAAAAATGGAGTTTAGTCAGAATTGCTTTTGACTCAATTTAATTTATTTTTTGATTAAATTCTCTTTACAACTCAAATGAAAATCTTTAACAGTAAACTCTTTGATATTTTGTGTTTTTACTGGTCATTTATTTCATTGATGCTTTTCCGATGAAGAGAACGACGATGATGATATTGTTGATAGCGGAATGATGCTAGAACGAAAGAAAGAATGAAGGATTATATGGGAAAGGGGCGTGTCGAGGGATGGTAGCAAAGGAATTTGGCCGATGAGATTCAGGTAATTTTGAATTGAGAAGTTCAATTAGGGAAGATGAGTTGGAGAAGACAACTGATTTTTTATTTTTCTTAAAAAAAAATTATGTTCAGATTATGAATTTTCTTAAGTTGATATGTCATTTTCTTATTGGTCAGCAAAAAAAAATAATCTGGCTTCATGCGCGTACTTACAATTGTATTACACTTATAATGCCATGTCATCAAAAAGTATTTAATATGTACATGTTTTGAACGGTAGAGGTGTTCAATAGGAAGAACCTCTAGTTGAGGCATTTAAGTAAAATATGCGGACAACTTTAAGGGGCCGTAGATGACTTAAGCCTTATAATATCATATTATGATGTGCATGTGATTATTTCATGGCTTAAGTCATCGATAGCCCCTTAAAGTTATCCGCATAATTCATTTAGACACCTCAACTGAGACTCTTACCTATTAGACACTTTAATATTAACGAATATTTATTTATTGAACATAAAATGACAATTAGCTTTAAAAATATTGTGCGTGTAATTCACACACATTATGTTGACAAAATCACGAATAGAATTACGACATGTGGCACATGGGCCCATAATTTTAATTTTGAAAAATAAAAAATAATTTTCAGCCTTTAATAATATAGAAAAAATTAAATTGATAAAAAAAAATCTCTCCCTACACCCCCACCGAACCCCCACCCCATCTAACCTATTGCCCTTTCTTCTTCATCTTCTTCTCTGTCATTCCGCCATTGCCATTCACCATTGATTCCTCCGGCGATAACAAAAAGAAAATGTCGAGCCCCACCTCATCCCGAATTCACCCACCAAATCCTTTCCTCTTTCTTTTTCTTTGTTATATTCTATTCCTCCGGCGGCTATTGCGATTTTTGTAAAAGTAATCGACCTCGATAAATTATTTCGAAATCAACATATCAAATTTTTTTATAACATTTTTAATAAGTTTAATGAATGGTGATGGTTGCTCGATCGGAGTTATTGAAAATAAAGATGCACAAATATTGGTCAACTTTTTAACTCCAATGGTCGATTTTTTTCTTCTTCTTGCAAATTCAACAGGCAATTTGTTTACAGAAATTGAAAAAAAAAACGAATCAAAACAAAAGGCAGAGAAATTTGAAGTTTTTAAAATGGTGGGTTGAAGAAGAAGATGACTTGTACATGGGTGGGTGTGGTTTCTTTTTTTAATGATTTACAAGATTAATGCTTAATTAAATTAATTTTTCATTTATTTGGTCAATGCATTCCAAGTTTCAAGAAAGTAGGTACAAATTTATTTTTAAAAAAAAATAAAAAATGCATTCACACGCTCAGCATCAGCAGTGAGATACACTTATTTTGCCATATCAGCGTTTTGTGTTTAATAGGTACATGTTTTGAACAATTTAGTTATTCGATAGGTACTAGCTCTAGTTGAAGTGTTTAAATGAATTATACGGACAACTTTAAGGGACCGCCGATGACTTTAGCCTTATTTCATTCATACACGTTGATCACACACGCATGCGCACACACATTGCAAGTTGAATGATAATCTCTCTCTATTTTATATTAGTATTAACTAAATTTTTAAGGTTTTTCATGGTTCATAATTCAAGAGGAATGCTCGAAACCTTTTTATAATTGTCCTTTCGTTTAATGATTGATATTTTCTAGGAGATAAATTATACTACTTAAAAGTTATATTAATAATTTCACAAAGGACAATAGTGGTGGAAAGTATTATTTAAATTATGCCCTTGAATATTTTTCTTAAAAAATGTGCATTGCCTCACAAATTCAATTAACATAAAATAGAGGGAGTATCTAACATGAATTTAATATTAAACGACAATTGTCTTTTAGGTACACAGGCAAAAGGATTTCACTCACATATAATAGACATATATTAGTTATGCATATTTCTAACTTGTCAATCACACGTTATTTCAGTTTTATACATGAATAACTTATTTCCTACTTATTATATATTGTATACGTTATACGGAAATTAATACATAAATAATGTTTAAAGATATTTTATACTCCCTCCATCACATATTAGATGAACATCTTACTAAAAGTATTTGTCATATCTTACTAAATTGCGATAGAATTAATTAATTTTTTCCCATTTTAGCCCTATAATTAATATGACATTTGAAAGTTTAAACAATTTTGAAGATGAAAGACTTTTTTTTTTCAAAAGACTAATTAATATGAACAAATGATAAAATTGTAAAGTTGAATAATCTATTAA